CATACAGTTCTGATAGCGTCCTTGGGCACAATAGGGACAACGTATATCTGGGTGATAGGGATGTGTACAATGAGGAAATGTTGGACACCCTTCAGGACAGACGGCGGCAGTAGCAATAGATTGATAATGGCTATGGATAGATGATGCATTCCACAGCCAAGGCGCACCGCGTCTCTGTCCCGACAGGTGTCACACGAGAGTCGGTCAATAATCCAGAATAAAGTATGATTCGACARCGYTCGCAAAAATTCATTCACGTCGAAAATGACCTGACTCATCGTCCCACCATCCCACAGTTCCCACTGGGCAGCTGCACGAATGAGTGCCATATAATGCCCGGGTTTGTGTAAAATACAGGCAAAAATATGAGGATGGTTATATCTATCTATCTATCTATCTATATGTGTGTGTGTGGGGGGGGGGGGGGGGGGGGGGGGGGGGGGGGGGGAACGGGGCGTTATACTGCGATGTTTCTCCAGTACGTTTTTGGGAGACGGAGCACCCTTTAGTCCTCGCATTTACTTTGATGTCAACAATTGTCATACTCACAATACTGCCTTCCGCTGAATTGGGGGAAGACGGTGGGACTTTTCCAGCCGAATCTGCCCGATCAGGCAAAGCCCTAACCTAAGTGTTCTCTTGGGGTGGGCTGAACCTCACAGCAACAGTCTTCCCCCGACTGGAACATAAGGCCGATCCTGATCATGCCAATCAAGATGGGGTAGACAAAAGTTCTCAACAACTGGTCGTCCATGGATGCATACAAGCTATCTTTCCAGTTCTGTACAGTCATGATGAGGGAATACGTTGCATTGGGGGAAATTCAGCAGTAGAAATCGGTACTGCCTGCAGTCCACACGGATTTGACACCTGGTCAGAATTCCAGTCAAGATTATGAGTCGAAGTATTGATCACATTTAGGAACCATGCCACCATGGCCACTGCGGAATGCAGCTTCCATGGGTGGGTTAATTAAGGTTAAGAGGTTCAGGAATGCAGCTTTGATGGGCTAATTAAGGTTAAGAGATCCAGGGTATTCCTACACTTGTATGACAGCACTGTGGAAGGTTCATGACAAGCCAATGGAGTTTGATACACCTGTAATCGCACAGCAAGCAGACGGTAGAGCGAAAAGGCGGGGAGGCGGTGACCGGGAGGCGGAACTTTAGTCGAGCGACAGGTTTTCACGAACAATGGTTCTTTGCCCTATGCCTGCTGCGCATTCTCGTGGCAACACGTCTGGCTGATGAGATGCCCGTGCTTTACTCGAAGGACCAATTACAAGAAGAAAAGAAGACAAAGGGGGGAAGAGGAAGACGACAACAGAAAGAACAGTGTCACCAAAACAAAGAAAAACAAGGACAACAAGAAAAGAAAACAAAGGAGAAGAGGGAGAAGACAAGACATATCAGATGCCTGTGCTTAACTCGAAAGACCAACTAAAAGAAGAAAAGAAGACAAAGAGGCAGAGGAAGACGACAACAGAAGAACAGTATCACAAAAACAAAGAAGGATAAGGACAACAAGAAAAGAAAACAAAGGAGAAGAGGGAGAAGACAAGACAAAGAAGAAGGCAACCACGTCCTCCTCTATTCTATGGAAGATTCGAAATGGGGGCAGCGAGGCGGCCACAGAGAAGAGAATAGTCGAGTGAAAGGTTTTCAAAAGCGCAGTTCCTGGCCATGCGACGACTCAATGTTCATACAGCAACATGCCTGCCCATACGCCACCCATGCTTCAATAGGAGGAGGCGGAGGAGGAGGAGGAAGAAGAAGAAGAAGAAGAAGAAGAAGAAGAAGAAGAAGAAGAAGAAGAGGAGGAGGAGGAGGAGGAGGAGGAGGAAGTAGAATCCATTAAGAAATATTGCACTTGCTGCAGTAATTGCCCCTACCTATGGCCCTTTACTTACATGTCTGCTGATGGGAGCACCTGTGCTTCACGAGGAGGAAGAGGAAGAAGAGGAAGGTAGTGGCAAATCCCCTAACAGCATTATAGATGGTGTGCACGGGGAACCATTGAGACTTCTTCACTGCGTGGTGAGTAGACGGCACAGGAAAGGGCTGGGCTGGTCTGTGTGCCAATCGCACATAAATGCAATGACTCTCATTACTAGACTATTCTATTCTCATAACCAGCTAAGTTCACAACGAGCCATGGGAGAGGGATCACAGTTTGGCGACAATGAGAAGCAGCCAGTAAGCGTATGAGGGCAAGAGGGATTCAGCGAAGGAGTCGGCCACATGGGAGAAGCTCAAAGCAAATGGAGGCAACAGGAGGACAGACACAGATCGAGGCAGGGCCACGACAATGAGCGAGAAACCTTGAAACGGCAAGCAAGAAGGGAGACCTTTAAGGGACAGAGAGGGACAAAGGGAGGGAAACGGGAGAAAGGGAGAGAGGCAGGGACCACGACAATGAGCGAGAAACCTTGAAACGGCAAGCAAGAAGGGAGACCTTTAAGGGACAGAGAGGGACAAAGGGAGGGAAACGGGAGAAAGGGAGAGAGGCAGGGACCACGACAATGAGCGAGAAACCTTGAAACGGCAAGCAAGAAGGGAGACCTTTAAGGGACAGAGAGGGACAAAGGGAGGGAAACGGGAGAAAGGGAGAGAGGCAGGGACCACGACAATGAGCGAGAAACCTTGAAACGGCAAGCAAGAAGGGAGACAGAKAAGGGACAGAGAGGGACAAAGGGAGGGAACGGGAGAAAGGGAGAGAGACAACGAGGAATCGCGGCAGAGCAGGAAGGGAGAGGGAAGATGGGAGAGAAGAGGGAAGAGTAGGAGAAGGGAGAGGCAGGAGATGGAAAAGGGAAGAGTGGGAGTGGGCAGAGGGGAGAGATGGAAGAGGGAAGAGTAAGGGACGGGAGAGGGAGAGAGGGAAAGAGGGAGAGACGGAGAGACAGAAAGAGAGGGAGGGGGAGAGAGGGAGAGAGGGAGAGAGGGAGAGAGGGAG